CGGAGTTGGAACTCCGGAGATGTTACCACTGCTCCAGCGGCACCGGCTGAGTGCACCTGATTTGTCACGTCTGACCAAACGGATATGTTCATGCTTCAGCTATGTGATCGGTATGCCCGAAACCTTCAACACGACTCAGTAACTGTTGTAGCTATATCGATCGACCGACCCGGCTGTCAGTACTAATTACCGACTGAGCCGGGTCAAGCCGGATCAAACAGAGTTCACTTATTCGCTGGCCCAGTGTGTCATTCGTCCCGATGACAAGCTATCTGAAGAGCTAATCAAATCAAGACTCTGGCGCTAGTATTGAGGGGCCACTTGTGGGGGAGCTCTTTAAATGGGTACTGAGGGGCTACGGAAACAACAAGACCATTGATGGGACGCGCATCAAAGTCAGGGCCACAATCGTCCTAGAGTGCTGTGTCCAATAGAGCATCTCCTGAGATAGAAGGGTGTAGAGAAGGGAGAAGTGGAACCTGCTGCAGGTTGCAAACTTTTGAGCGGAACACGGGCTCTGGTCACAGTCTGAATTCAGAATACCCGGATGGAGGCAATCTAGTAGGTGTTTTCTTCAAATGCCATTTAAAGCCGGTGGCTGTGTTGACGGAAGGCGAGTGTTACCACTGTCGGACTTGAAAAAAAAACTCGGAAAATGAGTCAAACGGGGATACTGATCATTTGGACGGGCGAGATCGAGTACCACTTTAGGACCGTTTGTAAATGATGGACAGACCCTGAAGTTGAAGTCAGTCTTTGCTGAAAAGCCAAGAATTACCATAAAAAAACTCTGTCATTTGCGAATATACACTTATTTGCAAACTAATTTGGTTTTCCGAGAGACTCACCTGGAACCCAGCTGAATCTCTCGTTCGTGATGTTCTACTTGAAACCAAATTACAGGTAAGTCTCTCGAAAAACCAAATTTGCTTGCAAATTAGTGTATTTCACTGATTTCGTGAAATTTGGTTTCAAGTAGAACATGAGGTTGACAGAAACTCGGGGACTGCGCCTACCTGATGAGCCCGAACTGAAAGGGCGAAACCGGTCATGGCCTGTCGACGAATTTTCAGCAACCTTATGAGTAGTGTATTACAAAATTCCGTTATCTTCGTTGGGATCGTTGGAAACAAGTCTCCCGGTGTTTATTGACCTGTTTGTCAACGTATTACTCTTTCTATCCATCACGGCATGCCATTCTCCCCTCCAAATTCTGCCAGTTTGAATAATGTGAAACTCATTTAGACAGACATACTTTACAGTTAGATGGCTATCCGTACTTCACTCGTGCTTTGTAGAAACAAGCCAAGGGGAGAAAAGAAACTCAAAGAAGAGATTCGCCAAATACACTGAGTTGCGCACCAACTCGGTCTTAACGGGAAACTCCCTTGAATCCTTCGTGCTGCACAAGGGCCGACTCATTCGAGATATCGCAGTGTATTTTCATGAAGGAAACTACTCACAAGGTTGCTGAAAACCCTTCGACAGCTCACGACCAGTTTCGCCCTTCTTGGAGCTCATAAGGTGGGCGCATTTCCAGAGTCTCGTTCAACATTGTGTTCTGTTTGGACCCTAATTGGACTGATTCCGATAATACAGTCATTTGCAAATCGATTTGGTTTTCACGAATCACTTGAAGCTTACACGAATCTAATTCAACTTTCTGACAGACCGCAACTGTTCAAGCAGATCATCGGTACGGCGGATCTCCTTGCGAAAAGCAAGCGGATGGTGTCAGTTTCATTTTCTTTTCATTACCAGAGGAAGGTGGTAGATAGTCGTTCAGTTGTAACACCCATCCGGTGGCGAGCTGCCATGCTACCCAAAGGAGGCACGAGGGCTGGGATACTGCCAGGGTACCCAAGCCTAGTCAGGAGAAGTCAGGAGGCACAGGTTAGGTTCGAACCACGAGCCTTCCGGTTAGTAAATTCGCACTCTAACCATTGAGCCATCTCGCCCCCACGAAGCATTTATAACTATCGTTTTATGATCCTCTCGTTCCGGATATTCACACTCGGCAATGGCTGTCTTCTGCCCTGAAGTGCCACTGTTTTTTCTTGGAATATCATATTGATTAGACCGCAGTCTCCGACTAAAAGGCCACATGTAGTTTATCGATGGCTGCTTTTTAGGGGTGAGCAACCCGGAAGTTTTCAGAACGCTTTACTGTGACATGACATCTATACAGGGGGCGAGATGGCTCAAGTGGTTAGAGCGCGAACTTACTGACCGGAAGGTCCGTGGTTCGAACCCGAACTCTCTCTCTCTCTCTCTCGACTTCCCCCGTCTAGGCTTGGGCAACCTGGCAGTATCCCAGCCCTCGTGCAACCTTCAGGTGGCACGGCAGCTAGGCACTGAAATGTTGCTACAGCTGATCGTCGTCGACATCCATATACCGAACGAACACTTTTCTATGCCTGTTTCTTACTTGGTCGTCACTCATATCTTCTTGCTTCATACCTGGTTGTTCTTGCTGTCCAAAGGACAACAAACACGTCATCGTCCATTTTCGAAGCTATCCGCACACTAAAGATCCAACACTTCCTAGAAGCTACCACACTGGTCAAGCTGTCTACATTTAACTAAGCCAAAAGAAATCAAATTAAAACCAATGAATAAACTTATCTATTCCTGATAACCATGGAAACATATTTTTCGAGCAAATAAGATGAAGAAAACACGCGGTTTTCGGATGACTTTGGTTGGAACTAAATGAGAGAAAGAAAGAGCGAATGGTGGATTGTGCCGCCCGCTGAACTCGGCAGAGAGAATCGGCAGCTCTGGTTCCCTATTTTTTCGGGCTTGACCTTTTGCCCTTTGAACCACTTTTGGAAGACTTGGACTTTGGAGATTGTGGGGACTTCTTCGGTGAGCCTTTCTTACCTTTCTTGCTTGTGGGTGACTCTGCGCCACCACCAACCAGACCCATACGTGCTGCAATCAACACTTCTTTATCCGGCACTTCCGGAAGTGGATCACTCAGTGGCTGCAAAGTGTACTGGTTTTGTAACGCAATCTGATGAAGTTGGCGTCCGTGATTATACTCGTGATGTTGCATGATCATGCAGGCCAAAATCGGATCGGAGCACGAAGTGAAATCGACTTTACACCATCCACAACGCAGGACGTTATTGGTCACATGAACAACCAGAAGATGGGCTTGAAGTTGAAAGTCATTTCGAAATGTTTGCCAACAGTAGACACAAGTTGTCCCGGGATCGGTCACATTCATCATGAGTTCTTTCCTGATCCATAGGTTGCCGAGTTTTACTAAGGGTTCTGTGTGGTTGAACACAATGTGTTGATTCAAACTGGCATCGTTTCCAGCCGGAAACCCACAAAACGAACATATCTTGAGATCATTTCTTATTTGCGACGCGTTGCCATGACAACCGAGGATGTGCGCGTGTAGACCGTAGTTTGACTTCGAGGGCCAGTTGCATATTGGACATGAATAGGGAAAACGCAGTCCACTGTCACCCAAGAGTTGGCGTCTGCTCCACAATGTGTAGGCGGGAACATGTTCGTTGCGTACGTGAACCAACAGACTATCCAAGCCAGGTGTGGGTACATCGGAGGGCTCACACATTTGTCTCTCCTTGGCCGCTTTCAGCTCCTTCGCATGGGCCAACCTCTTCTCTTCATCCGCATTCGCAGGTAACGGTGGAATGTTTGGTGGAGGTGGTTGCGGCGGTTCATCGTAAGTGAATGTGCACATTCCGCAAACGCCAGGTGGCTTATCTGGTCTGTGGAAACATAACAAGTGTATGGCCAGTTCCACTCGTGATTCATAGGGCCTACTACGACAGAACAGGCACCGATAAGGTGGTCCCATATCCAAACTGACGGGACAGGAGATCAGTCGCAAAAAGTTCGCTTTCATCACAGGACATTTATGATGCTCCACATCTTTGATATTGACTACCGTCTGGCAAGCTCGACACTGTTGGTCTTTGCAATCAAAAGGAGCCATGTGGTTCATCAGAACCAAATGGGCTTGGATAGCCGCGGAGTCATTGAACGACCTCAAACAAAGGTAGCAAACCGTGGTTGGTTCCGTTTGCACGGCAATCTCAATCGGTGGCTCTGCATCCGACTTATTTTTTCCTGGGGAAGTTTTCTTTCTTGGTGAGTTTTTACCTCCCGGACTCTTCTTCGGAGATCGTTTAGGCGAACTACTCTTGGGCATGTCTAATCAAAAGGCTCACCGGCCTGTGGCCTATCCAGTTCACAGTCGGACGGCTTAAACTCCCGTGATAATCGATCCGGATGAATAGCCAATCAATACAAATCTCAGTTGCAGTGCCTAAATCAGCCAATCAGCAGTTGTGATGGAGTAAACATTATTCAGCTAATGAAGACAATCGGAAGGCTGCTGATTACGGTGAGTCTAAATAGAGCTTTGTAAACGAATTCTCTACAACGAACTCCACGAAACAAATACGAGTACTCTGGAGTCTGAGACGGAAGGTTCATCGAAGTACTTCCAAGCACCAGTCTTCGCTGTCTTCCAGCACGAAATGATGAAAAACAGTGCTTTCTGCCCCCGAACCATCTCTAGGACGAGTTACATTAAATAGCGATCGCCGTAAACACACCAGAGGACAGCTCAATTTTCGCTGGCAAAGTGAAGAAGTCGAGGTGAGGTAGGAGTGAGTAGCGAAGTCTGTCTAGCTTAGTTTTCACCGCCTTCGCTAGAACGTGGTTGGACCGTTGTAACAGATCAAACCTGGAAGACCTGTGCATCCATTTTAATCCTTTGGAGGATGACCAGATGTAGTAACGGTACTTTTCTCAGCTTAGTTCTCGGTCTGAGCCTCCCAAGCTAGCGTTCACGTCAAAACAACCACCAAAGATGCACAAGGTATATTAACACCCAAAACGAAGTAAGGAAGACTTGTACAGTGCTTCAAGTGTGTAGTGTGGACGGCAATAACTTTTTCGAAATTCTAACGCGTTCTGTATGCGCCACTGGCAACCGATATTTCGCCAGTACTGGGTCATGATTGGCTGTTGGGTTCAGACTTTCGACCAATCAGATCTCGGCATGATGCCGGACCGGCAAGCGTCCCGAAATTTTGGCCAATCTTACGTGGTATGGGTTTCTCAGCCGTAGCAGCACCTGACTGCAAGCATCAAAGCGGAATCCATGTAGAATACGGCATAACGCCAGAGCTATACAGTGGCTAGCTTCAGCATACTTGGAAGAATTTTTCAGGAAGTTTATAAATATAGCGGCCAATTGCCTTCCCCTCAGAGGTGGACACATGATAGATGTTCACATGACTGACCGAATTCTTAACCAAACTAGACAGGGCAGTGTGTAGCACACATCGAGTTCATTTCAGATAGTGTCGGCAACATAAACTTGAAGTTGGAAGGGAGTTTTCCAGGTTGTCATGCGATTTTGACTTTTAACTGTGAACATAATTTGAGTTTGTTTTCCCATGGTTTAAGTAACATCCACAAGTTAGTTTGCAAATGAGTGTATTTCACAAAATTTGTCCAATTTGGGTTCAGGTAGGACATGAGATTGACGGGACTGTGCCTGGGCTCCAAGAAGAAACACGAGGTGACCTTGTACTGTACATTCTGCCGAAAACGATTATTATAAAAGAGGGATCCGTCTGGGATCATCTGAGTCTCTCATCGAAACCGCATGTAAATGAGACCGTCTGATGAGTTTCGTGCAATTTGGGTTCAAGTAGAACATAATATTGACGAAAACTCGAGTATGAACGCACAGATTGACGTAACCAGTTATAGGCTGTCAGACAGTTGTTAGCAAGCTTATGAGTAGCTCCTTCACGAACATACACGAAGATATCTCGAATACTGTACCAACTGAAACATGAGGCAGCCTTTGTGGGGAATATTAGGAAAGGAAAACTCACCTGGGTATCCCGTTGAAACCAAACTGGTGGACAAATGAATGCTCCACGAACATTTAACTTGATCTGTCCGTAGTCCAATAGAATGATTGGGATGAAAGCTTAGCTTTTACTGATACAATAAAGAAGCGACTTCCGAATGGGAGAATGTTATATCTGACTGCTGTCTCCTCTCCAGTGCCTGAAAAAAGACTAGCTGACAAGGAACACAACAGCTTTATTGCGAACAAGCAACGGAGTGTAAAACACGCAACGGGCCTGTGCTATATAGTTAGGAGGCACTGGCTGACCTTGATCCAAGGCTGTCACGAACCTCGAACCAAAGCTGTCAGAGCGGTATTTAGTGGAGTATCTCGGTAGGTTTCGGGTATTCTATTAGGAAAGGAAAACTCAGCTGGGTATCCCGTTGAAACCAAACTGGTGGACAAATGAATGCTCCACGAACATTTAACTTGATCTGTCCGTAGTCCAATAGAATGATTGGGATGAAAGCTTAGCTTTTACTGATACAATAAAGAAGCGACTTCCGAATGGGAGAATGTTATATCTGACTGCTGTCTCCTCTCCAGTGCCTGAAAAAAGACTAGCTGACAAGGAACACAACAGCTTTATTGCGAACAAGCAACGGAGTGTAAAACACGCAACGGGCCTGTGCTATATAGTTAGGAGGCACTGGCTGACCTTGATCCAAGGCTGTCACGAACCTCGAACCAAAGCTGTCAGAGCGGTATTTAGTGGAGTATCTCGGCAGGTTTCGGATATTCTGGGATAATCTTCAGGAACCTGAGCTTTTGACGGAGATTTAAACGCAGTGCCTGTCGAGGATTACTCAGTACTGTCAAGATTTCTGCTTTGGTTTGTTTTCTCCGACGGCCCCCAAGCATATCTTAGTCAAAATGCTAAGCTTATCTAAAAAGAACTTACTGGCTGTAGACCAGAGGGTTTTTGAACACAACTCTCCTAGTAAACGGCTAATCAGAAAATCCGTCGCCAGGTGCGACGAACCACAATAAACGAAAACCAAATTCGTGTGGAAATGAGAGTGCTTGTCGAACTCTCTCCAATTTGGGATCAGGTAGGACACAAGGTTGACAGAAACTCTGGGTTTGCGCCAATGAGGAAGAAATCGGTGGCGAGCTGTCTGAGTGTGTCGAACAATTTCGTGATCGGCGCATTTCGTCTTCCGCTACAGTTTCGAAGGAATTGCTACCGCAGTCGAAATATCAAATGGATTATTTAAGAACTATTTAATTTAACTAGGGATGGAAATAAGCAACGATAAAATCAGAGCTTCTTTTATAACCTAATGTTTCGGTCACTTTGGACGGTCTTCTTCAGGAGTGCAGTAATCAAAGTGCTGCGAACAGCCCTCACTTCACTGGTATTCTAACAGCAAACTACTCACAGTATTTCAGTAGCTGAACTAAGGAGTTAATTTTTATGCGTTACGACCGATGTTTACACTTTCAGGCTCACACAGTCTAAGGATATGAACTAGCATAAAACATCTGGAGGGCTGGCTTGCTCATAGACAGATTTTTATCAGACACCTACCAAATACCCCGCCTTCTCTCAGCTTTGTTAAGCCGCGAGAATCTGTCGCTCTCCATTGTTGGACCCTGCTCTTGAATTTGGTTTGTTCAGTGAGTGCATGAAGTGTAGAACTGTCTCCAATTGACTCATATATTATATACGTGTGTGCGCCAAAATGATTGTCGTTAAAATTGATTTTGATGATCATCTTGATGTATACAGGGACACCGACTTCGGTGCATAAAACTGCTGCCGAATCATTTAGCTAAAAAACGGCATTGATGTCCTGATGGTGTTGTAGGTGTGTCCAATGAATGGTGAATTTCATAAGTCGCAGAACGTTAGCTGCCAACTAATGATTTTTGAGGGTGAATTCCGAGCACGAGAAGAAATTGCTGCGCCACATCACCCTGAATCCTGCCCATATTTTACAGAAACCGCTTTTAACCATAGCATGTGTTCAGCCATACGCACCATCCAGTGGCGAAGAATACTGGATTAACAACAATTAGTTCTGCACGTGTTTTGTGACTCGGATAATGGGTTGTTCTTAAGTCACTTAATTATTCATACAAATATCCACGCCTGGTAATTTACTACTGAATGCTTACTATAGAGAGTAAAACGCTGTAAGTATTCATCTCCATTGCGACACTGTTCAAGTAGTGCAGACGAGGAGTTGTTTTCACAGCACAATTTTCACAAAATCACGGTCAAGGTAAGAAACGATGGGTCAGAGCCGGTGTATCAGTGTCGAGGGCACTTCGGCCAAATTGTTACGAAAATGATGGTAATTTTTGACTACTCATGAGTAACACAATTCAAAATGGTGGAAAATATCGGCGGTCCGGGTTGAGGTTGTTCGCCGGCGAAGTCACCTGACTAACATCAATCAATACGATGGTTCGAATTGAGGCGAGCGACGAAGTGACACCCGTATTCATCAAGGGATGGTGGAGTCAACTGGAAAGATCACAGAAATTAAAAGTGTTTAGCGTGATTTTGGTCTATTTCGCCGTTTTCCTATTGTCATGCGAGCTGTACACCAGAAGCCACTTCGTCATTCATCGTATCTACTTGAACTCACTCAAGAAGGCAGGATTTCCGGAACAGCCAGTCAATTATGAGTTAGGAGTGAGTTCCGAAAGCCTTTAATGTCTCTCCTCGATGTTTTCTCCTACAAATTAGGCTTGTTGGGTATATTCTGCGTTTTTTCCACAAGGACCTAGCAACAACAGACCCCAGAAAACGCCACTAATTGCTGAGCACTTGGCGAAGCCATTCGGAAGGGAATGGGGGAACCTTTTAGCTGGAATTAGTGGATTTCCATTCTTCCAGGTTATTGATAACGAAGACAAATCCCGGACTTGTGGAAATAAGATTGAACATGGTTACTATTCAAATCCCATCTTCATCCTCATTATCGTTGACAATAAGAACAATAATGTTGAGCTGTCCAGTGCTACCTGGACGTGGCAACCTATTTGAGAGGAGTCATGGTGCACAAAGAGGACATAAATGTTGGACCGGGAGGGTCTGATACACACCTAACACAGATATATGAGGTTCTGACAAATTCAACATTCAGTTGCATAATTGAGGTCGGGGATGATGGCACCGAAACTTTGACCTTTGACCTGTCGCCAAGGTCCACTTACGAAGCTATATGTACATATTCTAGGGAGGTACAACTTTCGACAACGGAGGTAAGGGTCCCTTACGGTTGCTTGACAAGCGGTAGTCCGGAAATAGGTATTGTGCGAGTTCGCAACCGGAAAACTAGAACGCGGGGGAGTTCGCTTGTGCAGCCACGACCGACTTTCCAGGACGTGGTCTACCCGACCCACTTTGTGCCTGTTCCGGTAAGGTTGTGAGATGAGGTCACCACTTGAGGTCGATGGGGTGGGAAAGGAAGAAGCAATACCTGAGGGTACTTGTCGTACCATCAACGGAATTTAAGAACCCAGGGATTCCGTCAAAGATTTCCCCGCCGAGAAGGTAAATGTGCCTTCTTCGTGATGGTATGGCAGGTGCGTAACTTTCTGGTGAAAATTTCGGGCCTGGTTTCCTGTACGATAATTCCAGGTTAGAGATATCTACCGCTTAGACGATCCCAACTTACGCCCTGATAACCGTAAGATGAAATAATTTCCAATCTAAATTAGAGGAAAATAGATCTGAGTAGATGCAGAAGTCGACACTGTAATGCACTTCTGGGATGGCCCCTGCGTCGCGGACACCTTTCCATGCCTGTGGCAAAATACGCTAATTCGCAAATTAAGTGCTGTCAATGGGGGAAGCAGCTGAGTTTGGCGTTTATGAATGGATTTACTGCACAAAGACATTCCAGATATCGCATTATACTTTCTTGGCACAGCACACTACTTATAGGGTTGATGAAACCTCTGTGACAGCCACTATCGTTTAAACCATTTTGGGGCTCATCAGGTAGGCGCAGTCTGAAATGGTGAACAATCCACGAAGTGTACCGATTTTCAAAGTTAGTTGGTGTTAACGATGGATCCAAAAGAACGCCGGTTGAGCCAACCGAAACTTGAGTGACCAACTCCACCTGATGAGTTCCAAGGAGGGTCGAACAATCGGTGGGCTGTCAGAGTTTTTAGCAGTCTTACAAGGGATGAGTTATTGACTGCTATAGTTAGGTTAGGCAACTACTCTCCTCGCTTCAGTTGTCTAGCCAGGCAACCAGGATATATACATCTTCGTCGTTCAGCTATAGCAGCCCTCAATGAAAGCATCCGGATACGGTTCGCGTGACTGTAAAGCAGCGCTGTTTGGCGGGAAGTGCAATTCCATTTCTACAGAATAAATCGCCACGTATGTTCCAAGAGACTGTGTTCGTCGGAACTCTAACCACTGACAAATCTGGTGTCGCATGGACAGTACCCAGTGGGTCATGGAGATACACAAACCGTCACGCCACGGTAAGGTCCGGTCTCTTCGTGAGGGAACTCCTCTGTTATGGATAACTATCGTTTATTCAGTGGGTCCTACTGACAAAGACAGGTAGACAACCGAGATTTGCAATATATATCAGAAAAATAGTTCAGCTGTAACACCCTTCCGGTGCCTAGCTGCCATGCCACACGAAGGAGGCACGTGGGCTGGGATACTGCCAGGTTGCCCAAGCCTAGACAAGAGAAATTGAGAGACGCAGAGGTCGGGTTCGAACCATGGACCTTCCGGTCAGTAAATTCGCGCTCCAACCACTTGGTCCATCTCGCCCCCGCAACACATAGGCAAGAAGCGATGTAGAAGAGAGGGGGATTTGGAAAACTCAACAGGGTTGGGGGGAGGTGTGACAGGACAGCGGTGCCCGAAGTAGGAATCCGGTAAGTGACAAACGTGATAGAACCACAAAAAAGTTAGAAATTGCGGCCTTCTGCGCTATGATGGAACCAGATCGGCAAAGTACGAACCCCCCACCCAATCACAAAGCAGACTAGTTGGCCGCGAGCGATCAATTATGCGTAAAGAGGCGAAAACACCGCGCATTGAAAAAAAATGATTGGATGTGTTCTGACGGCAGGCGGGAAAAACACACTTACTGGAGAACACAGTTGACAGGCTGAAGTGAATTGGGCGATTGGGGGGGATACAGGCAAGTGGGTGAGTGGAGTGTGAATCTAATGCCTGGGAATTGTTTGTGAAGGTTTGGCCTAGATAAGTTGGAAGGCGAGTTCGTCAGAAGCTGGGTAGATATGAAAGTGCGTATACTGACGAAGAATTCATCAGTCTCATCAGCGGTTAGGGTTAGGCACGTGTGCTCTTAGGAGGTGACAATCAAGATCGCTCGTGCGAGATATCTTCTTCAAAATGAGATTTAGTCCAAATCCTTCAACAATGTAACCAGGGTCGACAAAACCGTTCAGCTGTAGCACCCTTTCAGTGTCTAGCCACCCGAAAGATGTACGAGGGTGCCAGGCTGTTCAAACCTAGAAAGGAGCAGTCAACGCCGGGTTCCAACCTTCCGGTCAGTAAATTCACGTTCTAACTGCTGAGCCATTCCGACTTCTACCTAGGGTTGCTCAAATTACTATTCAGTAATGTTTGAACATCATCGAATTCGCTTTATTTTCTTCACCAAAACGAAGAGGTTGCGGTGGCTGGCAGTGTATCAAACAATACGATTAATTGTAGCTACAGAGGTAAACTTCCGATTAATCCTTCGGTGCCATGCCACACGAAGGAGGCACGAGGGCTGGGACACTTCCAGGTCGCCCAAGCCAGGATAGGAGAAGTCGAGAGGCAGAGGTCGGGTTCGAACCACGGACCTACCGGTCAGTAAATTTGCGCTCTAACCATTTGGTCTATCTCGCCCCCCCCCCCAAACATACATACGTGTGCCTCATTGAAGTGCGACAATTCTGAGAGGATGCTAGCAATCGCTTCAGAATCTGGCATAGTTGAGTGAAACGAACCGATCATTTGGGCGGAATAATCGGAATAATCCTCGAAATTCGAATAACACGCAAATTTCCGATAACAAATTCACACCATTCCAGATGTTGTTGAAGCGTTAGATTGATGATAACCACACGTTGTATTTGTGAACAACGGAACCACCTAGTGTGTCATTCGGGGTTTGTGCCGGTTGTCCTGACTAGTGGAGTCGTCAAGACAGAGCTGCGTTGAAGCATGTTGCCTATGTGTACCTTTGGTTCTGGAACAATATGTGTTTACTTATTATACAGAACCACTGTGTCATTCGGGGCTTGTGCCGGTTGTCCTGACTAGTGGAGTCGTCAAGACAGAGCTGCGTTGAAGCATGTTGCCTATGTGTACCTTTGGTTCTGGAACAATATGTGTTTACTTATTATCAGGATGGAGGTAGGTGCCGAATTTGTAGTCACCAGACCAGACAACGGTTAGTCAGACGTCGCGGAACCATGAGGTCACGATTGTCATTCGAACTGAGTTCCATTTCTGGCGGTGGCAATAAAATTGCAGCATGAGTTTTTGAAATACCAGCCGACACCTCATAATTCAAGTACGCGGAAAAGAGGCCATCAGCGTGTTCAGAGCCCCCAAATGAGCCAAAATTACTCAGCAAACACGTGGGCAGTGAGGCATCGTGAGTTCGACTACCATCCAAAAAGTCTGTTCCTCCTTGTTGTTAGTATGTGCACTCCAGTCTCGGTTGTCACAGCGGGTGGCAGTCTGGATCAAGCTTGTAGAAAGTTGTTGCGCAACGGAAAAAAACTGAAGACGGCTATTCTCAAACTGAGCACTTTGGAATAACGCGCCTTCCTAGTTGGGGGGTTAAAGTACCTACGGGACATGTCACGTGACCTGTCGCAACATGCTGTTACTACATAGCTTTCATTTGTATAACGGGTTCATGTTGGGTGAGGATCGATTTGGGTCAACCCAACCGATGGTGTCCCAGTTCGATATGATGCTCATGTGTTCTCATCCCGATGCTTTGCTAGGGTGTGGGTACTTAGTCCTTAACCGCTGTCAACGGGAATATAAGGCTGTTTTTGATTGGTTCCGATTAATCCTCTTTCCACTGCTTACTGGGACATTCTTCCTGACAGTTGCAAACGCTGGAGGGTTTCCAAAACCCTGGTGTTGGCGTCAGATAGTTTATTCCTGAATCTGAAGGGACGTGTGTATCAAGCTACAGTACGGGCTGTTTTGTTGTATGGCTGTGAGACTTGGCCTTATC